GTATATATGTGTATAGTGTATATGTACTATATATATATGTATATGTATATATGTTGTATAATATATATATATATGTGTGTGTGTGTGTGTGTGTGTGTGTGAGTGGTGTGTGTGTATGTATATATGTGTATATGTACAATGTTAGTGTATATATATATATGTCTGTGTCTGTGTCTGTGTCTGCGTATGGTTGTGTGTATACAGAATATATATATATATATACATATATATATATATATATATATATGTATATTCATGTATCCATGTATCCATGCCATGTATATTTATGTGTGTATATGTAGTATATCTAGGGGCATGGATGATTTGATAACGTTTGTACCTATCAATTGAGATAAATATATACGTCAATGTCGACAATTGTGTATTTCAAGGATAACATGTTGACAGGTACTTCTGATATAAATGCCTAGTTCATGACATACTAAAAGTGATGTCCCACGGTGGGCTCATTCTGCTGTTCTAAATTCAGGTTGTCTGCATCAGTATACTGAATTTCTATCCACGCTGCCTCCTATTCAGATACCCCTAGGTCATATTTTCCCATCAAATCAATTCCCACATGTTCCGTGATAAATATAGTTTGGTATTGATTAAAGGTTTTCCGTGGTCGCAAAAGTACGTATACAAACATGTACAATTAACTTTTTTTTGCATATCTAAGCACATTTTCTTCAGAATTAAGGGACAGTTGTACTATATGGTTTGCACTCCCGTGTAAGTTATTCGGACGCACGCATACATGTAGTAAAACATATCAGTAGTTACATTGCGCTGAATTTACGACAGAAGAAAAAGCCATCTCTTTGGACCGCGCTTTCAAATGGTTATTTTATAAATTTACGAGTTTGGTGCTTAGCCATGAAAACTAAAAGCGTACGATATACCACGAATATTCAGGGTGTTATGTCGGCTCTCGTCGACTCAAAACTGCGATGGACAGGTTCCGCAACAAGCAGCCAGCGTATGATTTTGCTGTCACTTGGCGCCCTTATATGCTCAACCCGACCCTGCCCAAGTATGTTGAGTTTTTGACTTCGGCGTCTAAGTACATTACACACCCCATTTTCGCGTATTGCTACGGAAAGGTTTTATGTGATTCTGAAATCTTTAAGAGTTGTGATGGGAATGGGACAGGGCATATATCCGTCCAGTTTCATTGGCTGGTATCTATTACAACCCCAGTTAAAATCGAAGTACTGACTTTCTCCGTAGATATGGTGTTGACAAGGTCGAGGCATACAATCAAAAATTCGGAGAATCACGCGTGAAAGCTATGGTTCCGCATCTTACAAGTGTTTTCAAGAAAGAAGATATTGACTTTAGCTTTGGCGGTCTGATATCCAACACCATGGACTCGCATCGCTTACTTAATATTGCTCTTGGAAATGGAGATGCGGCAGGACGTGCAACTCAAGACAAAGTGGTCAATCTCTTATTCAAGGTTAGTCGAAGCATTTTTTTGTGCGGTGTTGTTTCTCGAATAGTGCAACCAGTGCGTTATTATTGGGAGAAATGGGATTTTCAAAGCTTTAGGTTTCTGTCGAAGAGAGTTCGAGATATTACCTCATCGTCGTGTGTTAACTTTTGCCGTAGAAATTATTATAGGCAGCTGTGCACAGATAGATACGGGAGATTGTTTTAAATGTTTAGTTTTGTACATATAAATGCAAATCCTCACCATTCGGCCACATCAAGAACGCCCGTTGCATATATTAATCACGCCCACTATTTTCACACTTCAAAATCACGCATGCACTCTGAATCTTAGGCCTACTTCGAAGAGAGCAAAAATATTGGTGATCCTGAGTTGCTTACCCAAGTTGCAGCCGAGGCTGGCCTAGATGTTGAAAATGTGAAGGCTGTGCTAGCAAGCGATACCGGAGTGGATAATGTAAGTTCTGCGCAGTCGCTGATTGTGTGCCATCCTTATTTGTTTCCATTCAGATCTAGATTTTCCGAAGGAGATCTAGATTTGACCTCTGTGCCATTTCGAAACACTTCAATAGCTCGAACATGGGTATGGGTACCAAGAGCGAATGGATATTTGGCTTTGAATATTAAAATACTCCTTTTCGCTTTATACCTCAAGATTATGGCCGAGATGGCCGAGCGCAACGAAGGTGTCAATGGTGTACCACATTTCATCATTCAGAACAAGTACCGTATCGGAGGAGCTGAAGATCCCCAGGTATGGCATGACAATCCACCAGTACAACATATGTTTGTACTGTAACAATCATGTTATTTCCATCTTGAAGTTGATGCCCTGTCGTTTCCGTGCCCACGATTTTTAGTCCTTCCTGACTGTGTAGGAGTTGTTTGTTAGATTCAATTCACATTCACACAAAAAGCAATGATACTTACCTTCTAATATAATATATCCTACTTTCTTGGCAGGAATTTGTTGAGATCTTCGATGAAATTGCGGTTTCTAGTCAGTAACTGGGTGTCTAACCCTTTGGGCGAGCTCCTGACGAGCAACCGTGCGATGAGTTCTCCCGCATGGTTCAGTACACCGTATAGGCTGGTCCTTTGCTTGGTAGTTGGCGTATCTAGTGCTTCCACAATGACGGTACGTAGCAATGTAAACTCATCAAAAGAGCCCAGCTCACCCTGGCAATATCAAACGAGTATCACAGGTATCTAATACAAAAACACCTGGACGGAAAAGGTAAAACAGTGCCGTACGCGCATATTGGCAACGAAATAAAATTCACATATAATAGCAAAAAGAATGATTATTAGGTTTCTTATAGCCTCCTAAATTAGAACTTTTGACGAGAATTTTGTATGTATATGGACATCAAATTCAAATACACACAAACTCCAGAGGGTACAATCGTTATCTACGCGCATATCAGCTACTGAATAAATCAGCAACTATTCTCGAAGTACGAATCAGGAATATTTGTGTCTTTGCGTTATTGGCACTACATATTTTCAAACTAACTACGCACAAACTGAGAAAATATTTACTACTGTGCGATATACACTGATCGACTCGCTACAAAATGCAGGCACACATGGCAACTAAAACGAAGATGCACCAAATTAAAAAAACGGCTACCATATGTATCCAGTTTAAAATTCGCCTGGCATACCAAAGGCTAGAAAATTAACTACATACCATCTCCTAGGCAGTCGAACCAGAAACATGCGTCAGGGTACACAGAAGATATATACTTATGGATTCAAGTCGTAAGCGAATTCTAGACGCAAACAATATACGCAGTAGTCAGTCCAATGACCACCGTTCTATAACAGTTGGCACGCCAGTCTAGCGTGCTCATTTATTGGGTGTCTCCTTTACGTGTGGTGGAGTTAAACATGCACGGTGCCCCCTACCCGTGTCTAAGCCAAAGATTCTAACTTAAATAACAGTCTAGGCTGGTCATTTCCACCCTATGATCATTTTCTCCGAAGGCGGATGTAGGTTATCTCACTTAGCAATGTATGTAAGTCAAGCACTTGTGATCGATCCTCCTTCTCGAGCGCAATAAGACCACTTTGACTACACATACCACCGTCCAATGATCATGGAGCGTGTTACAATAGGCTTATATCACCCTCCATGGAAGTGCAACAGGCTTATGCCCTGTTGTTATCATCGAGCGGATGGACTCCACATGTCAACTATTATGCCGATGCTGGGAAAGCCTGTCTGGACGCTCGGCGATGCCTACCCAGAATTGGAAACTCAGCTTTTTAAAACTTGTCGACTCGTATGAAATGTGAAAGTATCGCAAAAGCACCGAGGGCAGTATTCCCACCTGAAACCTTCCGACGCTGAGGTGAAGGTGTGCCCGTTAAAACGCAATGTGCGCAAACAAAAGGTGACGCTTGATCCAAAGGATCGGAGAAATCGACCACGTTGTGATGCTGTGCTCGTTAAAATTACTAATATGATAATATGTTCCAAGACGTGTTTGGCTGCGACCTCTACGCACAACATGGCCTAAATCACCTGAAGCATGAGTCCGTGCAGTTCTCAAGTACCAGGTCAGATCGGCATTGAGTCGAGTGCAAGCTAGGTCTAGTGGTAGCATATCACCTATCAATACGCTTGTACAATGTGCTCATCGCAGCACTTCATGTGGTTTGTTTTGTTTCTGAAGGCGCGAGCTCTGACGTCGTGGTATCCACTCGTTCTTATCATACTTCAGTCGCTTGCCCCGAACGGCCTTCTTCCGCACAGTCAGGCATGTACACAAGGCGTGCACGCAGACACATCCGTAAGCATGTGCACGCAGAAGTGCTTCTGTGTCTTTATCAACGTCCGAGTCTCTGTCCGAGTCCGTGACTGCTTCGGCTGGAATATTGTTCGCCTCCAGTAGACCTCGGGTGGCGCGCGTGCGTTTCAGTACATATATGAAGCAATGCTTTTTGCGCTGCGTAGTGGGGTGGATTGAAAATATACATGAATAAGCGAAAGAATCAGAAAGGATAAACAGTATACCTAACGCAGGATACATTCGACGAGGCACTCACTACCAGCTATTCAGAGCAATATACTGTGCATAAGAGCAATCAGATACGCCCGATGGACTCGTGTAAGTCATCTCGAAAAGCAATTTTTTTAAAAGAAACACACACCTTTCTACCCAGAAGTCGTGCTGATGGTGGTCCAATCGGTGGCAGTGCCAAGTGCGCGAACTTGACTGCGTGCGGAGGCGATAACCTATCTGCATGGGATTGGACTAATCCAAACAAAAAAACATTCACACATGATGAGGACAGGTACATTGATAATGTATGGTCGAGACTAGACGAGCTGGAAAAAGCCTTCTGAGCTACAATCTCTATCTCAAGATTTGACATTGTGATGAAGATGTAGCATGTGAAGTGGAACCGGGCATTGCATACAGAAAAAACAGCAGGTGTTTGTTGTCTCTCACTACACAGCACACCATATAAGCTACAGAGATATATAACACATACCCATATGAGAAATGAAAGCTGATTCCTTCACAACATCGTCACAGTGTCTACACCTGACAGTCAAGAGCGTGTCGAACAGAGGATATTGTCCAAATATAGGCATATCATCTCGGAAAAGCCTCATAGCATGACCCTCATCAACTATTCCATCGAATTTTACTGGAGGCAATTCTATTTCAGCGACATCGTCTGCAGATCACAAAGCCGATATATGAGAAAACGTGCACATATATTGAAACGCGCAGAATTATAGCATTTGCTTTCATCAACATACTATATCTAAAAAGAGTATGTATTTGAATGAAAAAAAATAGCGCGACAGATATTGTATCATACTCAATTTGTAGGCAAGGATGTATTTCTCCCCGGCAGAATACAATACAATACCTAAACGCATACTGAACATTTCGGCGTTTTCAAGAACTTACCAGGTAGTAACTTGGCCTCGGCCTCAAGTTTGCTAAGTAGGGCCATCCACGAATCGGCCTCTGGTATCGGTCGTAACTCATTTAGATCGCATGCGACGTCGGATTGTCTGAACAGCTGATTTGTATCTACGGGAGATTCGCTAGCCATGGAGTGAGTGTCACTCGCGTTAGGTGTTGCATACGTCTCGAGCCCGCACTCAAGCGCGCATTCGTCAGCTGTTTTATTGGTATCTAAGCTGTGAGAGTCACCATCGACCAGATGGAGACGACTATCGACAGAATGCCCTTCGTATAATACAGACGGCACAGAATTCGTCTTCGTGGGTACTTCCGTCAGCACATTCGCCACAATAGAGGTCTGAATTATAAAATCCAGTCATGAGTGCTAGCGTTCTACCGATTCTTGGATACGACCGCGCACAGATTCACATGGCGACGATTTATAACATCTCAAGCTCACTCTAACTTTCTTATTTTCTGATCATTTTTTGCCTATTTTTTCTTTTCGTGAGCGATATTGAGTGTGACGCTAGAGACGTACGATACTTCCTGCAACACGGCAAAAGACCGTTCAGTAAATCGAACAATGATCCACCTTGTAAGGCACATGTATATATGAATGTATAAGAATTATA